GTACTGACATGGAGTGGTGGAAGCTGTTCTTCACACGACTTCAGCTCCTAATTAACAATACCCCTACTATCTGGTGCGACAATTAGCAGACAATTAGAATTGTCACAAAAGATCTATTAAAGCTCTAAACTAAGCGCAAGCATGTTAACATACACTAGAGCTAGTTACAACAAGAGATCTCTGCTAGTAGACTACATGTTAACTAGAAACCTACCGCTTAGATGCCTGCAGACAGTCTTACTAAATTGCTACTAAGATAAAAACATAAAGAGTTTGTACAACAATTAGGTTTAGAGGACATCTCTACTAACTTTTCTACAAGTAATTTATTATTAACTCTCTATGCACTGCACACATCTTTTTAACTATTTACTATACAAATTGCTTACAAATCTGTCTATCTTTTGTTTAGCTTTTATTCTGCCTATATATTTGCTTTATTTTAAGCTAGGGGGGTGTGTTTGCAGTAGTAACACTTAGATGTGTTATTACTATAGTTGCACAATAGTTAGATGTGTTGTTACATAATAATTATGCGTTAGCACTATAGTTGTATGCATCTTAGCACAGTCTGTTGCCACAACTCACCTACTTATTTCGCATATATATAGACTCCTGTAAAAGACTCCTCTAGTAATAAATACAATCTAGTTCCTTATGTCTTTAGTGCTCTTACATAGCTTTACATTATAACTTTTAGTAAAAAGTTAAAAAGTATAAGTAGCTTTAATTAAACTATAACTTAATTATATTAACTCCTACTGTTAGGTAAAGCAAATAAAAGTATATAATAAGTAAAACATAACTTATTAAGAAAGCCTAAGTTAAATTATACTACTTTTTAATAAAAATACTAGATATAACTAAGTAGTCTCTAGTTTATTACTTCTTTCTAGCTAATATTCTAAATGCTTAGAAACTTCTGTTTTAGGCAAGTGTAGATTATGTCTACCTTACTACTAAAGGCTTTATTTTAACTATAAAGTTACTTTAACTATTTTAAGATACTATATTACTTTTATATTTCTAAACTTAAGCTTTATTTTTATATTTTTAGTATTAAGTTAGACTTTTTAATTTTTATACTTTAACTATAACTAACTTTTTTTAGCCTCTTTAAAGTATTATAGCTAGACTTATATATATATTCTAATCTTATATTATTTTTCTACTAGTCTCTAAAACCTAGTGTCTAGCTGCTAAGTTTTAATCTTAACATAGTTTTTTTTCTAGCAGATAAAGAAAGTTATCTAGTTTAAAATAATAAAGTATAGCAAAGTTAAGTAAGCTAAAAAAGTTATATATAGTCTTAATACTCTTTTAAGCTTTATTAAGCTATTAAACTAAAATGCTATTACACATACTAAAGCTAAAACTAGTAGCTCTTACACTAAGGTAAGTAATAAAAAAGTAATTAGTGTAAGTAAAAAATTTGCCTAAGTAAACAGCATCTTTTATACCCTCTTTAACCTCTACTCTAGCTTATAGATTAATGCTAGTAAACACTTTAAAATATTTACTAACTAATTAACCTACTTAACTACTTTTTTAAAGGCTAAGGTTTATGCTAATTTTATTTTTAATAAAGCCTTTTATCTCTATGCTTTTTTAGGCTTTATTAGGCTGTTAAACTAAAATGCTATTATGCGCACTAAAGCTAAAACTAGTAGCTAGTTTAAAATAATAAAGTATAGTAAAGTTAAGTAAGCTAAAGGTGTTATATATAGTCTTAATACTTTAAGAGCCTAGGCTTTGTTAGGCTATTAAACTAAAATACTATTACACATGCTAAAGCTAGAACTAGTAAAGTAGAGCATAGCAAAGTTAAGTAAGTTAAAGGTGTTACATATAGTCTTAATGCTCTTCTAAGCTCTGTTAGGCTGTTAAGCTAAAATGCTGTTACACACACTAAAGCTAGAACTAGTAGCTAGTTTAGAATAATAAAGCATAGTAAAGTTAAGTAAGCTAAAAGTGTTATATATAGTCTTAATGCT